CACACACACGCACCGATGAGGACCGGGCACTCGCTGTCGGCCGACGAGGTGGCGGTCGTTGCGGGCTCCGCAGCCGTCAAACCCCTCCGCGTGGGAGGCAGTGCGGGGCTGGCGGGATGGCACGAAACAAGCACAACTGCACTCGCGCTGCCTTCCCCAACGCGGCCTCATTGATGAGTGAAAAAAATCGACAAACACACAAAGACACCAAACAAGACGCGTCATCACCCATTTGTTTATCCTCATCTCGTCGCCAATTCTTTCCACAAGCTTCTACAGAAGGAACGTGATAAGTCACAGCAAAAGATTTCGCACACAAACACACAATTAGAGTAAAAAAAAAACAGTAAGAGAGCCACACCAGCATGTGAACAAAATCGATACCAAAAGGAGAGGGAACAAAAACAAACAAACAAACTAGCAGTCGAAACTTATCAATAAGGTAAAAGTGTGAGGAAGTAGGTAACGATAAAACTCCCCTCTCGTCACACATTTCTCCTCCATCCCTCTTCCTTCCTCTTGGTATTCCCTTCTCTATTTCACCTTCTGCCTATGGCCTTCGCGGACGCAAAAAAAAAAGAATATAACTTGCGTTTGCCGCATCGCCGTGGCATCAGCATCCACACACGCAAACATCAGCATGCGCACGCGTACATTTTTGGCTCGCCTCGTCGATCGTGGTTTCATTAACTGATTATTGTTTTGGAGTTTGTTTTTTTTATCAGAGCCTCGTTTACCCACTCTTTTTTCCCCCGGTTAAGTGAGAATGCGGTTTGTGATGTAACGGATGGGGGAAAAAAAACAGCCAGTCTTTGACGTGTGCGCGGTGAGAAAAGAGGGGAGGGCTGCCGCTGGCATACATCGTGATGGCAATAATCGGCAGCCCTCGCCCCGCACGCCCACCACTTTAGCTTGTTTCATTCCCCGCTGCGGAGGGAGGCGGGGTGGGTGGCACCGCGGCCGACACCGCCGCCTACCCCCTACCCTTTTCGCCCCCACATGCGTGTTGCTGCAGCCGCCGCTTTTGGTTCTGCGCGCGCCCCCCTCCCTGCTTCGTGCCACCGCCCTGGGCCGGTCCCTCAGACGCACCACCGCCGCATTACGCAGAGAGAGAGAAGGAGGGTGAAGCATGGCCCGCAGAAAGAGGCCGAGGCACGGGGAGGCAGGCGAGCGAAAAACAAAAAGTAAAAAGAAAAAAAACCACTCCATGGAGAACAAAACCGAAAATAAATTGGAAGATAGTTGAAGTAAACAACGGCGTGCGACGCACAGTGTGAAAGATGTGGTGGGAAGAGGCGGCACATGAACCGCCCCCTCCTCCCACCTCTCCATCACTCCTCACACACAACGGTGACTCCATAGAGCGACACCCCGGTTGGGTGCCACGCAACGGGACACACACGACAAAGAGAGGCAGATAAAGCGGCAAAAGTGAATAAAAAAAAGGAGAAAAACACACAAAGAGATACAAAAAACACTGAAATTTCTTTTTACGCATACAAAAAAGGTGGAGAAGAAGGGAAAATTGGAGGACAAACACATCGCACATCAACATTAGGCATAGCTACTAGTGAATGTCCTCCTCCTTCTTTCTTTCTCAACGCATTATACATCTCCTTCCATACAAAAGCGACGAGGATTGTTTTATTGGATGGGGGGAATGCGCCATCCGCATACAAGCAGTGACACCTCTACATGCGCACGGAAACAAAAAAAAAACAAGTTTATCTTCATTTTTCGTATAGTCAAAGGGAAAGGGGGGGAATGAATAAAAAAAATGCCATTTACGGCGGCCCGTCAAGACCTATTTATTCCTTTGCTCTCTCCTTGCCTCCCTCCCGCTTCTCTTGTTGAATTTTCTTTTGTGTCCACCAAAACTGAGTTT